GATGCCAACGCTGAACCTCAGAGTGGTAGCGGCGCCGACCCGAGCGCCGACACCATGTACAGAGGCAGCACCATGTACGGGGGTAACACCATGTACGGGGGCAGCACCATGTACGGGGCCAGCACCATGTACCAGCCTCCTAACACTCAAGATGAAGAAGGGGACGAAGAAGACTCGGACCTATATGGAGCATGATGGCGATGGCGATGGCGATGACAATGACGACGCTATTGTTGTTATTGTCACATCACCCATGCCCTGAATCTCTGACAGGATTTTGGACAATTGATTGACAATCGAGCTGAGAACCTCTTCCCCCAGTATAAGTCCAAGTGTTGACGCAAGAGAGAATGTGAGACGTCATTCATTACCCAATGAAGGTATGAATGGGGGACTACGATACCGACTTCCTGTCAGTCGTTTCCGTGGCACATTTTGCTTTGTGTTTGCATTGTTTTCTGCCAAATCTTACTACCACTTTGATGGGGAAAATAAAGAGAGAGAAAAGAAGAAGCCTGCCAATCCTTTCCCGGTCTCGAATGGTCTTGGTGATCCAGGTTGGTAGATAGGTTAGTAGAGAGATGGACGGATGGATGGATAGATATGCTGGGTCGTTTGTCGCATTGTATGGTTTGTCTTCTGCCTCCCGTCGATGCCCGTTCCTCTATCAACGTGGTACGTCGCACCGTCGCACCGTTTACTTTCCCGAGAACTAGCATTGCCTTGAACTGTCTGTCTCCCACCGACTGACTATCTGATCAACCAAATAGCTGCCCATCTACCTGGCCTCGCCCCTGCTGCTCCTCGATCCCAACCGGGTCCTGAGAAAAATGCCGATCCTTGGACGTCCGGTCACGGCCACGTTCAGGCTGTGATGCTACTGCTCGCCGTTTGCGGCCCTTGGCCCGAGGACAATGAGGAAAACGCACAAAGACGTGGCCCTATAGTGTTCGTGTACCCTATCTACTTTTTTTGAATTCCAGAGAACGGCTTTCCAAGAGCCACTGTTCGCAGCGGACGGAACGTGACAAGTGGGCAGTGGGGTGGTAGATGGTGGGCACTGGGTACGCATTCACTCATGGTGTCACACTCACCCCGGCAAGAGTGGGAGAGGACGGAGCGGATTCCAGGAGATTGCGTCGTAGTGGCACTTGGGAAGTAGATCAACTAAAGAGATCTATCTGCCATGCTATTAGATAGACAGGTATCTACCTAGTGTGGTACAGCACATACCCGGTGGCATGGACGTATGTATACAGTATGTATTGGCCAGGATGGACATGTGGTTTGAAAGTAACAAGTCACAAGTCCAAGTAGAAATTTCTTGGCACTGACTCGCTTCAAAAGCTCGACCAGAAAAAAAAAGGGGGCTCGTCAGCCTCGTCCAGGGGTCGACCCCTCGACTGACGCATCCATCATTTGACACCTCGACACCAGCTGTTTCCAAGATATCTTACATTGCAGAACTGCCCCTCCTTCTCACATAAATTACACGAGCATCATAAAAAAAGTTCCGTGGAAAAAGCCATCGACAGCCACGCGTGCCAAGGTGGTTGTAAAGGAGAGAGAGACGAAAAAAAAGACTAAGCTCGGAGCTCGCAGATGTATTATTTACATGGCGCGACGGGGGGACCATGTCGGGTCATCTACGAAATGTGCAATCGACGCGACGCTCTCGTGCGCAGGGGGCCTGGATGCTGCTGCGCCTGGTGGCCAGCGGAATGGGGCGGGGCGGGGATGCATCTCGAGACAGAGAGCACTTCAAAACCGAACAGCTCTCTGCACACAGCCGAGGAAGACGCAGACAAAATCGACGGATCCGGCAAATCTCCCAGCCAGTACAACAACAGAGAAGAACAATGAACTTGGGCGGTTCGCACGAGAAGAACCCAAGAAACAAGAGTTTTGGCCGCATCGGGATGGATAACGGACGAACAAAGAATTTTTTCTTGTTGCAAAATCTTCCATGGTTTTTCTCTTAACCCTTCCCCCAAAAACCCTTGACCGTCTTCGGGAATGGAATAGATTTCAACAACAATGGCCGTCCGTCGTGCTCTCGAAGCAGAAGAAAGGGCACTTGGGGAGGGGTGTGTGCATGGTGGGTGGGAAGCGAGCACAGTCCTTCCCCTTTTCTTTGATCGCCTGAACCCAGCGAATGCGTTTCCCTCTTCCGCTTCTCGTCATGAGCCATACCTTCTCAAACACGGTTACTGTATGTATGTGGGTAGGTATTCCAGACTCTGCGTGACTGTTTGTAGGTGAATCTGCCGAGAATCCGTCAAAAGTGTTTCAAAATAACGGATCGAAAAAGTCTTCACTCACCCGTGCAAGGCCCGCATGGTCAAGGTTCTGCATCTTCGATGTGGAAGCACTGTGTCACAGAAGCGAAGCTGATGGCACAAAGACGCTGTCTGAAGACAAAGGTAGGCACCGAGCACCGGGCCACATAAAGACCACTTCAACACGGCGGGTTGGCGAGAACGTGCTTAAAACCCTGTAGAGGACTTTCTTCCACTCCCTCAAGTATCTCAACTTAGTCCAGTCGCTTCTTCACCCGACCTTACCTACCTCCACCCATAAACATATATATATAACACAGACACAAAATGTCCACTCCCGGAGGTCCGCCCGGATCTGGAGGCCCGCGTGCCTTGACATCAATCGAGCGCAGGAAAGCAGTTAATGCTCTGCGAGACCGGCTCAGACCCAACGTTACCGACCGCACTTTGCTGGAGAGATACCTCGAGACCACAAATTGGGATTCCGATGCTGCCTATAACTTGTGGCAAGCCGATAGGGCCAGGATGCTTGCGGGTGATAACCCAGAAGAGTCAGACTCCAGCAGCGAAGACTCTGAAGACGATAGCTCAAGCGACCTAAGTCCCCCCGCCAGTGATGGTGCTGCTGCTGGCTCTTCCGCTTCTCCTAAAGCCACATCTGCTGCTGCTGCTACCGCCACTGCTGCTGCTTCTTCTTCTCCTGCTTCTCCCGGTTCTGATGCTTCTGATGCTTCGGCGACAAGCGACAATTCCAACAAAAAGAAAACATTCAAGGCTATGCGCGAAAGCCAGATCGGCCCCCGTTTCAACAGCAACTTGGAACAAGAGCGTCGGGACGCCGCCCTTGCACTTCGTCTGCAGTTTGAATCCGAGGTAGACGACGGAACCACCCTGAGTCCTTCAGAGGCAATCCTCCTTCTCCATGTCAATCTGTGGGATCTTGGCGAGGCGATCGACAGCTTCACAGCGTTGGACGATATTCGCCTGAGATTGAGTGACTATGACCGGATGCGCACACATCTGCCGTCAGAGGTTGACCCTGAAGAGGTCGACATCACGAGAGAACAAGATGAACGGCTGGCCGAGTTCATGAACATCACAGGGCGACCTGACTGGTGGTCCCTTCGTGTGCTGTTGCAGGAGCAGAACTGGAATTTGATCGAGGCCATTTCGTTCTGGTTTTTGCGTGGAGTGCCTCCAGTTCACCCGTCCAAGAAGGAGGTGAAAAGATCCACCAAAGCAGATCCCAAGGGAAATAAAATCAGCTTCGGCATCCGTGTCGGCGTCGACGAGACGTCGTTGAAATGGCCCAAGCCCGAACAATGTGAAGCTCCAGCAGCGATTTTCATGGACGAGAAGTGGGGTGTAGAACCAGATCAGTATACGCCAGAGGAAGTCTCCGACACACAGGAGGACGAGGAGAAGGGCAAGGGCAAAGGCAAAGGCAAAAAGGCCAAGAAGCCCAGAAAGGGCAACAAGCCCAATAGTGCTGAAGGCTTCCTCATCAGCGTCGATGGTGATCCTGTCGAAAGAGCGTACAAAGGTTTTCCAAATCCGGCCAAATTCCTCGTCGAGCACATCTCCAAGGGCAAGTATACCTTCAAGCGCTTCAGACAGTTGAAAAAGTTCCAATGGCCAGACCTTGAAAAGCCAAAGGCGACACGGTCTCAGTCGGGCCGCGTAGATTTTGACTGGAACAACTCGTCCCATATCCAGCTGCTGAACAATTGGCGTCGACAGGCAGTTGGCAGAACAACCAAAGCCTCCAGGCAGGATCCCGGTCAACCATGGTCCAAGGAGGAAGACGATTATCTGATCAAGTTGTCCGAGGACCTCGCCAACGAGAAGAAGAAAAAGTCCACCAAAGCGTCCAAAGAGAAGAGATTGATAGTCTCTACCAAGACGAAGGAGGAGTGGGCAGAGAAGTTCAACAAGAAATTCACTGGCACGATTCAGGCAGGGTCGACAGAACCACGCGTTGACCGGACAATAGCGGCACTGATGCAACGCAGATGCCGCATCAAGGAGCTTGTCGACCGCTTCAAGGTCAAAGCAGACCAGAAGTGGTTTGCGAAAATAGAGCTGAAGGCCGACAAGACTCGCAAGCGCTCCGACGTATCTGATGACGAAGACGCAGCCCCATCCAAAAAGACCAAAGCCGACAAGAAGCGCAGGCGCTCCGACGTGTCTGATGACGAAGACGCAGCCCCATCCAAAAAGACCAAAGCTGACAAAGTCGCTGATGGCGCGGAAGACGCCGAGGACGCCGAAGAGTCAGATGGCGGCGAGGAGGTTCCCATGGACATTTCCTCGGGCCAGGATGCTGAAGAATCAGATAGCGATGGGCAGGACGCTCCCATGGATCTATCGGACTAACCTATGAAGCGGAGATGGGAAGAGTGGCCTGTTTGCTGACGCGCAGATTTCATTTCACGACGAGAGGGAGCCGGTTGCGCATCGGCGACCACACCGGTGCGGGATTGTAAGAGATGATAAAGACAAGTCGATCCGCTGTTGTCACAGATTTTTGCCTGTTTGGGATTTATTTCGTATCGATAGTATGGAGTTTCTTTGGAATTTTGCCCGCTCATTGCGCACCAGATCTGGCTGTCCGCACCGAAACCAGGTCAACAACGACGTATAATTGAACAATTCAGATGTTGTACACATGATTAATGCTGCAGTGAGCCATTTCACCGCATTCTGTGAAGACAATCATGCTCAGCCGAAAACCAGTGTAGGCTTAGCGAGTTCTTCTTTCGTAGTGCTGTGCACTGGCAGATCAGGTGTCTCAGCGACATCGATCGACCGGCCTGCATTGTCCTCGTTGCCTGCGACTTCCCTCGAGCCCTCCTTGGATGTCCCCTTGACCGGTTGCATGGCACCCATCTTGACAGCGTCGTCTGGTAGCGGCCGGACATAGGGCTGACAGACCCACCACGGCCTCCGATATTTCATCCTGGTTTTCTCTGTGGGCGTCAGGTCATTCTCGTGTAGCTGCTCCACTTCGCCTTCAGCTGCAGGTTTGTGTTCGACCTCGGATAACGCTGTATATTCATCGAGGCCCGTCTTAACCACCGCTTCCACCATGGCAAGAACTCCCTCGAAGCTATCCATGTCTCCGCATCGTGTTTGTGCCAACGCATCTCGGATGTTGGTGTGCGTCGAAACCAGGGGACGAAGGAGTTGGAACAGGTGTCCTTGCATTGGCCTCAGACTCGGATCAAACCTTTGCTTGGGCAACCGTTTTTGTCTTTTTCTCGGTGGAAGCTCAGCATCGATCGCTTCGGTTTTCGGAGGCATCTCTTCAGGATCACCGGGGACATAAAGAGGCTTGCGCACGGGTGGTTCTCTGCCCAAGACATGGCGATGGATGATGTCAAGATATCTTCGGAACACGGCGTCCACACGGTATCCCCCTTTCCCATCTGGCCCGTACCAGTACTCTCGGGGGTTGTATTCTTTGGGCGGGTCGGCAAAAATTGTGGGATCACATATATTGCCTTCTGCACTCATGACACCATCAGCCCCAGTAGCAGCTAGGCATGATTCTAGGTCGCCTGAATTCAGAATGTTCCCGTTCGCAAAGATAACCGTCTCTGGCGGTAGCTGTTCCCGGAGGTATCGAATCATTTGCCAGTCCGCGAGACCAGTATTGTGGCCTTTCTGTTCTCTCCGTCTCCCGTGCACTGTCAATATGCTGGCGCCGGCGGAGAGAATCATCTTTGCATACTCCAGGGTCTTCTCCTTGGTGTCCAGAATCCTCATCTTGGCCGTCACAGGAACCGAGAGCTCATTATGCAATTTGTTGATCATCTTGTAGATTGTGTCCCAGTCTTCTTGCAGAAAAGCTCCGTAGCGCCCATTCCTGGCAATGCCCTGCGGACATCCCAAATTCAAGTCAACCGCGTCACAGTAAGGGGCCACATATTGTGCCGCCTCGAGGAGATCTTCGGGCTTATTCGCGCAAAACTGGACGAACAACGGTCGGTCCAAAGTCGGATTGCCATCAAGCCATAGCGACGCTGAGGCTCTCTCCTTGGAAACCAGACTGCTTTTGGTGGGCTGGAAGTGTTCGTCTCGAAATCTTGCTGTTTCTCGGAACAACCTCGCGTGCAGCATAGGCGTATACGCTAGAAAGGACTTTGAGCGCTCTTCATCGAGGTAGGACCGCGTGAGGAGTCTCCAAGCCTGGAGAACAAGTCAACACATCTGGTGAAGCGGCGAGCATGGAGGGAGAACGGACGAACTCTGAGCGATCGACCATAGGAGCCATTATGTATTTTGGGCTGCCGATGCTTTCGTAGAAGGCCCTGCCTGTCAGCTTTGACGGCGACGACATATGGCCTACGCCAGCGACCGCCGTCTCTGCCATGACCTTAAACGGAGAAATATGTCTCTGAATCTGTTGGTATAGGTCTACTACCGACTGGAGGACTGGCCTAGACATGGGCAGTCTCTAAGGAAAGTTGTGCTAGGAGAGCATCGTACTACGCAGTGAAGAAGGTCATCAGTAGTCTCGGGGAGCCATGCAGGCGAAAGAGAGTGACAGAATAATGAATATGGCATTGCGCAGCGGGCAAACCAAAAAAATAGTGAATGGCGCTTGACAGTCAGATACTTTGACGTAGTAACTGCTACGGTGCACTTTAGGGTCCCTCTTGCGCAGCTTACTCCGTACAGCCTCGCATCTACAATATTCCTTGTTCAAGACAACACCATACTCTGAAAAGGCACACCCCATGCTGTCCCGAGGAATAATCGCCCTCGACAAATCTCTACGGTCCATCCGGCGCGCACCCGGTCCCGTTGCCACTGACAGCGGAATGTATGGGTGACTGTATGCGAGCTTAGCTTTTCCTTGCAACCCATCGAGCGCGCACATTGACTTCCACCCGGAAAGCCAGATACAAGATCGCTTCGACTATTGCGGTAGGAGACTGACACCGCCATCCTCGGAATTAACATCCACCGTCTCATCATCCTCTCTCAAGCCACTGCCGAAGATCTTGTCGATTCGCTTTTCGCGGTCCCAGACAATCTCAGCCTCCCCGTTCTCAGAGATCCGTTTGAAGTATTTGATGCGATGTTGGGGAATCCAGTCTTCCTCGGTGACCTCGGAGATCCAATGGGTCGCGGCGAGTTCCTTGATACCGGCGAACCGTTCCAGATAGCCAATGATGTATCTTGACATGTCAAGATCAGTATCCCATTGGAGCCGCTTGAGGACATCTACGAAGCATTCGTCAGTATGCCAGCCTCTCGAAGGTCGTGTGGGGGTGATGTGTGCGCGCCGTACCTTGGGCTGATCTCATTTTGGGGACTGACACCTCGCTGGGCGTATTTGGCATTCCCTGCTTCCCCTGCTTCTTGTGCTTCGAATAGTGCTCCAGCTCTTGTATCCTCTTCACTTCGTCCTTTTCCTCTTGCAGTCTTTCTTCCTCGATATCTTTGAGGTGCTTTTCCGCGACACCTCTTAAACGACCTATCGAATCTGAAGATTGGCTCGGCGTTGTGTCCCCTAGACGGTCGTTTCCCGCCATCAGGTACAATATCTTGACTCAGCCTATTAAGTAGTTGATGAAAGGGGACGAGGATCTGGTAATGCCATCCTCATATTGTTTGTTCTTTCTTGCTGATGTCAAAGGAATCTTGCTGTGGCGCAGCACCGCTTGTGCCGATTCCCATACAATGACTCACCCTGTTAAATTGAGTCCCTCTCATCGAGAAAAGCTCGTGGGATAGCCATGCTCATTTCCGGGGCGAAGGAAGTCTATGGTCGAAGCGAGGCTCTCGCCCCCGAAATCTGAGTCATTGCAGGCACAAGGCGTTCCGACTGGGGAGTCAAATCACCCGTTGAGGAAACTTGTGAGTCCCATCATATTATGAGCCAGACTTCAATCACGATCACTGGGATCGAACCTGTTATCATACATGCTTGAGAGTTGCTGGTTACTTCAGAGAACTGGAGGTTGTGGGGGACAAAGACCGAACATTCTTTTCCGAGAGATCGCCGTGACCTTCGGCTACGTCCCATTCGAAAAGCCGATTTAGTCATGATCATCATCCCTTTCTTCCCTGAATGACTCCCAGTCATGGACGATACCATGTCCAACCAACATGTCGAGAAACTTGACTCCGGAACCAACTTGAGATTATGACCCTTGGTCGCGGTGGCAGTGGCTCCTCCACCATAGGACGATGCTTGAAAGCGAATATCCCCAGCTTCCGACGCAGCTTGAGCCAATTTCGTGTGATTGAACACGAAGTGCGGGCCCAACATACGCGGCACTGGCCGAGGGGAACAGAAGTTGGCTACGAAAACAGCTTGAGGCTCGCTGTCAAGCAATACGTTCCTCATGAGCGGAGGGATCCGGCACCCGACGATATCACTTTCATCGCGGCACATGCCAATGGCTTTCCCAAGGTTAGTGCTCTCTTAGTTCCACTGCTCACCGCACCAGTCGAGGGTTCATATGCCTAATGCTATCATCAGGAGCTATATGAGCCTCTGTTCGAGGACCTATATACGAAACTAAAATCCTTGGGGAGAGGTATCCGAGGAATTTGGATTGCCGACCTGGCCCATCAGGGCCAGAGTCACGCCCTCAATGAAAAAGCTCTGGGCAACGATCGTACGTCTGGGACCTGGTCTAATTCCGGGGATTTGCTAATGTGTTGCAGCAAACTGGTGGGATGGTGCTAGAGATCTTCTCTTTCTGATAAACCAGAAGCAAGACGAGTTGCCTCAACCACTCTTAGGGATTGGACACAGCATGGGGGCGTCGCAATTGTATATTCTACTCGCCAATTTGAAAGTACATGCATTGACTATTATATAGGGCACAGCTTGCACTTCTTCACCCCAGGTTGTTGCAGGCTCTCATTCTGGTTGATCCGGTCATACAAACCGAGAATCCAAGCAAAACATTCGCTAAGCCGTCCACCTACCGTCGAGATATCTGGCCATCCCGTCGAGAAGCACGGGAAAAGTTCGCGAGCAGCAAGTTCTATCAGCGCTGGGATCCGAGGGTCTTTGAGAAGTGGGTGCAATATGGTCTGCGGGACTTACCCACGGAACTCTACCCAGAGAGAAGTGAGGGTAAAGAACCACAGGTGACTTTAACTACACCCAAATCTCAAGAGGTCTTCTCTTATCTAAGACCAAAATATAACGGTACTCCCGGAATTCCACCAGAGAGGGATCGGGCGGTGTATGGGGATATGCATCCGGAGGATGTGGAGGAGGGATATCCCTTCTATCGACCTGAACCCGCCGAAATCTTCCGTCGACTTCCCGAGCTGAAGCCACCTGTTTTGTACATATTCGGAGACCAGTCTGAGCTCGCAACGCCAGAGCTTCGGCGGAAGAAGATGGCGAGTACTGGTGTCGGGGTGGGTGGGAGTGGAGGTCAAGCCGAGGATCGAGTCAAAGAGGTCGTTTTGGCGGACTGTGGTCACTTAGTCCCTATGTTGAAAGTCGGCGAGTGTGCTGATGCTGCAGCCTCGTTCGCAGATGCTGAAGTGACTCGTTGGGAGCAGATAACGAAGGAGTGGCAGCAGCGTTGGCTCCAACGATCTAGGAGTGAGAGAGTCGGTATTGACGAGGAATGGAAGAAGATGATTGGTCCGAGGGATACATAGTAACCAGTGAAATAAAGGGTAGTACCAATGAAACCGAGTCTTAACAACCAATTGTAGACACATCCCTAGGATGAGGCAGCCTTGAGTGAGTGGCAGCCTTGCGGCTTCCCTGCCAAGCCAACCAGAGCAGGCATTTTCGGAAAATAGATATTCCGAAATTACCAGCCACCCGCCGCCCTTCCGTGTCCTTTCAAGTTTTGCACCTTCGAGATGTCCCGCCTCACCATAGTTCCAGTACACGACCGCATTGCAGCATCAACCGCGCTTTTCGAATCGCGTAAGCCATCATGGTATTATTGACCACCGTCGCAGAATGGGCGCACAATTTTGACTCTCGAACAGGTTTACAGCTGGGATCCTCACCGAGATGTACTGTACAAGCTCTACATCGAGGACAGAAAGGTACGTTAAACCAACTCGTTACTCGTCGTCGCAACCCCAGTCGCGCACGGCTAACCAGATTCAGTCTCTCGAGGAGATTATGCAGTACATGCGCGACGCCGCCAACTTCACTCCCTCCAAGCGCGCCTTTCAGACACAATTCAAGAGATGGGGATTTCCGTCGAAGCGCAAGCCATCTTTCCGCGACGAGGATCTGGTTGATCGCGTGAGGCAACTATGGGAGGCAAACTACAGTCAGCGCAATATGCTACACACTCTCCAGGCCGAGGGTCACGATATCAAGGAACGCGAACTGATGAGACTGCGCGCGAAAAATCGCTGGCTCATGCGCATTCCGAACGGTGCCAAGCAGACACCCGGCGATGACCCGGAAGCACAGTTAATAGAGGCTGCGAAGGATGATGAAAACATGGCCCAACCAGACCAACAACCTGTTGCCGAAGAGCCACCACCAGATTTCGTGGAGCGTCAGAAGGAAAGACTTCAAGAACTTCAAGCCATCAGCGACCAACGCTGGAGAGACAAGAAACGCCGTCGTCGAACCAAAGGGTATGCAGGTCTGCCACCTGATCCCGCGGGCATGCCACCACGTTTCCCCTCCGAGACTACGCTTGAGGAAAGCCGAGAGATATTGAATCTCGATGCGAGACAATACCGTGCCATTCGCGATCAATTCCAAGGGATTTGTGAGGAGGAGCAAATCATGCAAAAGACGGTTGCTGGGGCGGAGAAGTGGCAAGCCGTCAAAGATCGCCTGGTTCGTGAGAATACCCTGTTACAGGCCGTGATGTGGCAGGACACCAGCAATCTTCAATCCAAAGAACTTGCCCTGGACGTCATCTGCACCGATGTTACGAAGCGCATCCGGACGCTTGGTCGTAGATTGACCATCCTGGAGTCTAAGAAGGTGCTGGGCTTGAACCCTGATCAGAGTCGACAGATTCGTGGCGAGTTCTACGAGATCCTCGAGTCGGAGTATTACACGAGTAAGCTCGAGATGGGACCGGCAAAGTGGAAGGAACTCAAAGATCGCTGGGTCGCCAACAATTCATATCTCCAGAGCATCCTCGCAGCGGGGGACGCCGACCCCGAGCATAACCGAAAGCTAGCGGCCATGGAGCTGTTGTGTCGAGATGTGATGAAACGCGTGCGAGATGACCGGGCAAAGAAGAAGGGCACTTTTAGGAAAAAGTCCGTTCAACCCTTGACTCCAGCAGCAGACACTGCAGACACTGCGCCTCTACCACCTTCGCCACCAGTTGCTCCCGCACCAGCCTCTGCCAGTAGCGCATATCGAGATGCCCTGCCTGCAAATCCATTTGGTGAAGCACCGGCCCCGGCACCGCAGAATGATCTGTCGGACCTGCAAATCGACCCCAACTTGTTGCAGGTGGCGGACCATCTAGGCACCCCACAAGTCTCGAGGCGAACGCCGGTATTTGTCCGTCCACATCCCAACTCGACCATGTACACGAGCACGAAACTCTCTCTCGGGTCTTTAAATGGTCAAACTGTTCAGGAGCTTCATGCCATGCTCGAAGAAATGTACCCCCATGCAAAAGCGGAGCAGATCAATGGTATCGACAAAGATGGCGCAGGCAAGGAGATTTCCTATCTCATTGAGGAAAATGATGAATTAGAGGCGTATCTCGACCACGTCCAAGGACGCAAGGCTATGTTTGTGGTGGAGCTCAAGAGAGCTTGACTTTTCTCATTTCAGAGCCCAGATTGGTTCCTTGATGGAGAGGTCTTCCTCCACATCGACTGGGTACTCTTCGCATTGTTTGCTCGAAATTTGTCTTAACAACAGTCACTTTTTCTTGGTGGAAGGCGAGACAAGGCATTTTCGACGTTTGGAGCTTTCGGCGATGGCATATTCGACACCTCTGCGGTCACTTTGACGATTGGAGGCAGTCTGCGATGTAGCGATTTGCCCGAGAAAGGTTTTGTGTATGATATGACATTACTGACCTGGAGATCATGAACCAAATTTACGAGCGAGGGCTAAAGCTGGTTGCATGGCTGCATGGCTGCATGGCTACGCTGCAGATATGCAAATGGTGCATAAGATTGCATAATTCGCAGAGAGTGACGCGGTGTTTGTAATAATACTTGGTAGAAGTGGTCCACAAACAGAGCCGCAACAATGCTACACGCACAGTATCAGCCATCATTCACTTGTCAACCTTCACTCTTACACTCGCCACCATGAAGCACGTTGTTCGTCCGAACACATATCCCACTTCTTAACGCCGCGCATTATATCCCCATCTCCATCCCAAATTTGTCCCCACATGAAAGGGTCGAATATGAATTCGGCGAACTTTGCTTGATCCTGCCTCGGCAATCCATCCACTCATAGCGAGCCCTGCGCCCAGCAAGATTCTCGTCTCGTGCATTATTCTGCCTTTATTTCTACCTTTGGGTATCCGTGGTACCGGGGCATCTTCCCTGCCTCGGTAGGTGCCAGTAGGTAGTATGGACCCATCATCGAGCG